GCAGGACGTCACCCAGTCCACCCTACTAGTAGCCGAGCCACACCTCCTAGACACTAGTGGGGATGGGCAGAGGCCGTAGCTGTCAAAACGAAAAAATTAAAAGAGCTCTTTTCCCTTGCCAGAACGCCGGTTCTTTCCACGACCCCCACCTCTTCCGCCTTTAGGTGGAGGCTCAAGTGTGGAAATGGAAGGTCGGAGCAAAAAATTTCGAAAAACGGTCAGGAAAGGCTTTAAACGTGCGTCTGTAGCCGGAAGTTTCATCTGACTAAGCACAGCCAATCCCTCGTTTAGGTAAATTCTAGCGCTTTTTTGGGTATGCCACCTACCCTGAATGAGTATCCGATCAAGGTTTTGGTGTTTCTGGAACCAAAACGTGGCCCCTCCCCTTCGGAGAGAGTAAGGCCTGAACCCCAAATCTTGGATACTGAGGTCTTCCAGGCATTTATTAAAAAGAGCCCTCCATTTCGCGGGCGACAGCGTGAGGTGAGTGGCAGGTGAACAAGCCTTCTTCCATGTCTGTAAAACTCTAACCGCCGGCTCAAAACCGAGGACCACGGACTCGGCGGCTCCATGCCGCTTTCCACCTTTGGTCAACCCTAAATTGATCAGAGCCTGGGTGGCCCGGGGACCACATTCAATGTGAGAGGACACGATCCCTAGGATCTCCCCTGTCCTCAACATGCTGTCAAACCCTATGAGCAAAGAAACGGCAAAAGAGATCCAACCATTAAGAACTGCCCAACCACACATGGCATGGACGATATGCTCTGGAAGTGGTGGAGCCCGCGATGGGATCTCGTTAGTTTGCCACGTCTTCACAACCTCCAGGCTGCCGGCATGTGTGTCCTCAGCCCTGGCTGTATGTCTTGCAGCCCGGCCAGGGTATCGCAGGCCAAGCCCCTGCGCACCCTTGGCCCCAAAGATGCTCTAAGTAGTCACAGACAAGGGGGTCAAGCTTGTTCTTGTTGGTGGGAAGTGTCATGCCTTCGGAGTGAAGAAAAGAAAAGGAACTGGTCCACCGCTTTGTCATACCTCTTGCGAGTAGTAGGTTGGACGGTCAACTGACGAAGAGTCCCCAAACGACGAATCTTTGCACGCTCCTCCTGTGTGGCTCCTTCCAAGACACGCTTTGGCATTTCGGAAACGGGTCCTCACCCTGGTACCCCACGGTTTGTCAGCAGGGTTGCTATCCGTGTTCACATACCCCCACAAGACTTGGGAGCCTGTACATAGAAGAAGAGCGCTGATTCGTGCCATACTTCGTCGCAACTTTCTCGAACTCGTCCGGCCCCTTGTCAGGGCACGCAAGCAGACCAAGGAATCAGTCAGGTGCAGCATTCGGCACCCGCCATGCCCTTGATGCTCCAACCGCCACCGCAAAGCGTTCAAGATGGCGCGAAGCTCCAACGAGTTAATGTGCTCATTCCCATGGGTCCAACGCCATCCCGAAACAATTCTCCACTTCCAAAGCTTGGCCGGGACTGAAGCACGCAAGCGATGAAACTTGACCAGTTGAGTGGTCGGGGTGGTCAACATGATATCCTCACCCTTCAGGCTGATGAGATTTCCTAACTTGAATGCGAGGTCATACTCCATGGCTGAACTGCTGTCTGCCTTCCGCAAGGGCAGGCGCACCAGGCGTCCTTGTACCGACTCAGAGGCTCCCGGAGCACAGCGAGCGATCACCTCCGCAGGCGGGAGATGAAGAGCAATCCCGAGAGAAGACAGGAGCTGATTGAGCAACCACGCAACCACAGGAACACTCCATGTATTCCCCAGCAAGTTCAAGGTCAGGCGGATGTCCTGACAGCCAGCTTTCTTCTTCTCGCCCTTTGTGACGCAGTTCGAAGTGTAATGGAGAGGGAAACAAAGAGTACCTCCCGCTCGGAGATCGAAGGGACTCTAACGTTACCCCGTTTGTCAACCACTCCGTGCCGGTCCATGTATTGGTACGGCGGGAAGCGATGCCAATCCTCACGCCAGCGACGGAGTTCATGTTCCTGACACTGTACAACGCCGGCCGGCTTGCGGCCAGGCCGGGCCGCCGGCCTCGATGTAGTGAACGTCGGGAAAGACTGGTCCAACGACACCTTGCTCCAACCTGCCTCCAAGTACTGATCAACCGGTTGCTGCCCAACAAGCGTCCATGAGACCGGCTCGACTCCCGCATTACAGGAGGCTCCAGGTCCCTCGCAGAGCTCCCATGTCGTCCAATACAGTCTTGGCCTATTACACCAGGTCAGCGTCCCGGCGTCAATGTGCACAGGCTGGCTCCCAAAGTCGTCGGACATGACAGCTTCATCCATGGAGCTGACTGACTCCATCAAGACGTGTACTGCCGCCCAGGTGAAATGCCTCTTGACTAAGTCGCGGACCCTGCTGACATGAACGAACAGACACGACCGCCCGGAAACTCCCTGACAGGGCGGTCCCGCCCCGATGACCACCAAGCTGCACTGGGAGAACCGAAGTCCCCATTCTACAACCATGAGCCCCTCTATCTCCTCCACGTCCTCATAATGCAGCACCCCTGGGTAGTTGCTCTCAACCACCCTCCTGGCCGAGACGTTGCGCTCGATGGAGATGTACCCACAAACGGCGACACCTTGTCAGTCCATGGCAACTCGGAGGGCACCAATCCCATCATAACAGGCTGATTATGAGCACCTGATGTTCTGGCAGCGGCTGAGGGATTTGCCTCGAAGTCCACCCTGGGCTACCATACTCCCTGTTGGTGTCAAACCCGCCGAGCGACAGACACCCCCTCCTGATGTAGAAGCATCGCTACACGTGACCATGGGGTGCATGTCCAGCCTGAAGTTCATACGAATCAGAGGAAGTCCAGAAACCTCAGGAGCTCCGCCTGGCACTCTATTGGAAGAGGCTTGTACGGTGCTCCCGGCCCATTGAAGGATTCCACAAAAGTCCACACTGCGTTGAGGGCACCCAGGATCGGCCTTCTGAACATGCTGAAGTACACCAGCCCCCCGCACACGACTTGCACTTGCCGCTGGCTCACCACCTTTTGGCCCAAGAGCCTGAGGGTCATGCTGAAGTACTTCTCGAGCTTCGACTCCTTCGGGTAGGCCAATCCAAGCTTGCCGTCCACTGTTGCACCCTGCAATTCACACTTGGTCGACCTCTCAACTGCCTTCTTCTCATTCCTGGGCACCGACCACACGCAATATTCCTGCCTAAGGGCACTGATCTGATCCGCAACGGTTCCCTCACAATCAGTCATGCCAGTGGCTTCCACCTTCTCGAGCAAGTCATAGTTGTCCAAGTAGACCCTCCAAGTCGAGTCCGCTGTGGTGAAGGGGCGGTCTTTCCGCAGCTCCGTGCTTTCAAGAGCTGGACGTTCCTCAAGTCCGTATGACCACTTGACGAGGTTGCGGTGTACGTTTTGGGCTAAGCTGACCGAGTTCAGAAAACCCATAGGTAATACCCTTGAAGCAAGATAGACCGTCTTACCGTGCAACTCGACAGGAAGGGCAGTGTCAGGGACTGGCTTGTTGAACGCCAAGTACTTACTCCAGCATTCAGGTATCCGCATGGTATAAAAGAAACACTTCACATCTTCTGAAGACACCAAAAGGTTCTCACCTGGTTGCAGGAAGAAAGGGCTCATCATGCTCCAAGAAGGTAGGGTATCAATGTCCCCACCCAGGGGTTGGCAGATGGAGTTGAACGGTATGAGGTTCATAATGAGGCGGCAAACCTCCACTCTCTCAGGCGTCGTCTCTTCTTTGGATACGCCAAACATCCCGTTCAGGAGTGCTCCAGGAGGCAGCAAACTCCCGCTTTCAGGAGTCCAGTGCACAGGTCACCCCACGCACCGTCTTCAACCATGACTTTTGACCTCTTAATGGGACCCCAGCTTTCCCGAGGCTTCAGGAAAGAATCCAGCGAAAGGACGTAGTTCCTACAGCCTAGAGTACACACCTCTTCCAAGGGAACAAGACCTATCTCACAAGGCAACGCCGGCGACACGTTCTCCCACCGGATCCACCGAGCGACCTTGACCTCGTCGCCCTTGTAGTCGATGCCACGTACCGAGAAGAATTCCTGCCAGTCAACACCCGAAGCTTTCAGTCCCAGTGCACAAAACCGTTCAACCTCTTCTCGGATCATCTCAAGGCACACCTTCTGCTTGCTTCCCAAAAACTTTTCACCCAAATTGACTCCACCCCAAAGAGAGTTGAGCCCTAAACAAACACAAACCACCCAGTTCAACACTTCTGGATGAATCATGGTCCACAACGTCTGCAAAACGACGATGGAGGTGGGTAGCGGGAACAAGGCCGAGTCCCCACCACCCGTGAGCTGGCTGCGAAGTGATGTGACCTCCATCAAACGTTGAAGTACGAACGAACCCAAATGCTGAACACTCTTCCCTTCAACGCCCAAAGCGCTATCTCCTTTTTCCTCAACGTCCTGACAAGATCTGGATCTCCACCCTCTACGGCTTCAAACTGCGGAGGGTCAGGCGGAAAAGTCTTCGACTGATCGGCCCTCGACGTGAGAGCCTCATCGGCCTGCTCTTGAGGAGTGGCCGGAACTGTAGGAAAACCTCCAGCAGGACACAGGGCTGCCGGCCTCGTCGACATGAGTGGCCAGCATCGTAGTGCATGGTTGATCGCAAGAAACTCCTCCAGCCGTCGAGTCAGGAAGATTCCTCTTGCAATCGATCGTCATAGCTGCCGTTCCTGGCTCCCGACAGCAGGAGCCTACTTCGTCGTGTCCTCCTTGGCCTTGGCCTTGTCTCCCTTGCCGGAGCCCTTCGACTTGCCCTTGCTCTTGCCTTCCTCGAAGTGCTCCTTCTCGCGCTCCTTGGATTTGCCTTTGCCCTTGCGCCCATCCGGCAATCCTGCCAAGTGCCGTACTTTGGATTCGGCGTTTCTGGGCAGCTGATAGTTCCTGAGCTGCTGCAAGAACCAAGCCCTCTTGCGGCGCAATCTCCATTCGTTGAGCCACCGACCAGTGTGTGCCGCTCAGGACGCTCTCGATGGATTTGAGCCTCTGGCTCAAAAGGTCGGCCGCTCGAGCCGGATGGCCCTTTATCCAACGCCGCTGAAAGCGTCACCAACTCTCGTTGAGTAGGGCCCGAGGCTCGCCTCTGCAGCTGCTGCCGGAAGTAGCTCAGGTATACGGGTTGCACTCCCGTTGGCGAAGTCCTCTCCAATGCTCTGTAACAGGTTCTGCCGCATCATCTTGACCGACTGGCAACACAGAGCCCCTGGAAAGGCATCCGGCAGCTTCTTGAGCCGACTGTCCGCCTCGAAGAGCTCCACGTCCTCGAAGTTCTCCCCGACTGAGCTCTCCTCGTCTGACCCTGTTCGGCTCGATGATGATGAACGATCGCTCTTGGCCCGCTTTGCCTGCTTCCTCGCTCGGCGGGCCACCCTCTTCCTCACGCGCTCCCGTGGATCTAGACCGGTGCCCCGGTATAGACTCAGGAGACCCTTCTGTGACGCCAACCGCGGCTTGCGCCCGTCGTCGCCCAGGCTCGATGAGGTTGAGCTCGAGCTCACTGCTTTCTTCTTGTCTGCTTCCTCTGGCCCCTCGACGGAGTAGTGTCCTTCTGACTCTTCCTTGCGCTGTGGCTTCTTCTTGCGGTCTCGCTTGCGCTCCTTCTTCTCGGAGCCCTCCTGGCGCTTTCTCCTCTTCTTTTCCTTCTTGGGTTTTTCTGGGACTTCAGGCTTGTCCTCACTCTCCTTGCCGGCCTCTGGTTCTTCGTCTTGGACCACGATCTCGGCGACAGGTCCTTTGGAATCCTCTTCCTCCTCCTTGGTCACAAAGTCCTTGCCCTCGGTCTTGTCCTCGACAGGAGCCTTTGATGCTCCCGCACCTGCACTGCCAACCTCGGTCTTCTCCTCGGCTGTCTCAAGAGCCCCACTGGTCTCTCGTTCCGCCCTCAAGACGGGTCCGGCCTCCTCGGCCAGGTCAACCAACGCTCCAGCTGCGCCTCGAAGTGCCTGAACCACTGCCGCTTCCTGCGACTTCAACAAATGCCCACCTTGCAGCAATTCGCGGATTCGTCTCAGGGTTCTGCACGAAGCGCAAATGGGACCACCAAAAAGGTGGCAGCTGGAGCAGGCCATAAACTTAAGCCAACACTGCAGAAAACAAGTAAGTGAGGAAACATCTTAACCTACGGGGGCGCAGATACATATGTGATCACTTATATGATCTCTATATATATATGCATAGTGTATATATTTACTATATTTCTATATGATCATATATGCATTGGGGACCAGTGCTTCGGAAGTTCCACTTCTGGCATCGCGTTTCATCCCCTCCAAACGAGCTCACCAATCCTTTGGCCGCTTTTTGGTCGTTCGACGGCAAGACCTGCCTCCTGCCTTCGGGCGGAGGTCAAAACAATGGTTGGGTATAGTCTATAGTCTATCCTAATACCAATAACAGTAGATGATGATGGTAAGTAAAGGCATTGTTCAACAAATGGTTTGTATATATATATATACATACATACATATTTAGAATTTATATATATATAATGATATAGAGTTATGATCCCCGGTGATTGATGGGTTGGATGCTTTACAGAGCATTTTATAGAGAAATGGTGGCTATGAAATGAGTTACAAAGGATCAAAATAAGAAAAATGTCTATAAAATGGAAAACCAGGTGCTACTATAAAATGGGATTTCAACTCCAGAAACATCTACGCCGGAAGGTTGACATCAACTGCGCTCCTTCTATAAAATGGAATTTCAATCATAACTAATGACATGGTGACACAACATTGCCTCTACTATGAAATGGAATTTCACATATATCAACAATCTACAAGCACAATCAAGCACATCTTCTTTAGTTTCTATGAAATGACATTGTGCACATAACCGCTCAGCTCAAAAAGGACTTCTTTTTGCAAAAAACTAGCGGCTAGCGGCAACTACTAGCCGCTCCCTATAGAGTGGGGCGTCCCAGAACCCACGCAACTACTTTACACATCTTTAAACCTCATTGAGGCATGTGAGTCCTCATTGGATCTCATTGGGCATTCATTGGGCTGCATGGCGCGCGCATATCTTGGAACATCTCGGATTCTTTCGGCATGTCTCTCTATAAACTAGTTTTCTATAAAATGCAATTCTAACATCCATGAACCAAGTTCACAAGGGCGCCTTAAGTCCACAAAGCACCCCACTATAAAATGGAATTCGAACATCCATAAGCCAAGTTAACAAGGCACCTCAGATCCACTATGAAATGGAATTTCAACATCCATCATCATCCATCTATATGTTTACTCAACATCACCAGCTTCCTTCTATATAATGACATTTCAGGTCACATGCTCGTTTGCGACGCTGGCCCTGCTCTATGAAATGAGCCCCTGAACCCCCATTTCATAGAGGTAAAGGATCCCCATTTCATAGAGCAACAATCACCATGGATGAGTTATGTTTGTTTAGCGACTGTTACAGATCGTAGGACACCCCCAAACTATACTTGAGAGAGGAGGGGGTGAACGAAAGGTAGCAGGCAATCACAAGTAACCCTGGTAGAAGTCCACGACGGCGTGAACCGGCGCAGGGGGGATTTGATCCAGGGGGGGGGGGGGCCCCCCCCCCCCGACGAACAGAATCAACTCTTACAGGACCAAATTCAATGCACAATCCCAACTCCTGATTGTAATACATTTTTGCTAAAGCAAGGAGAACTCAGGTAGCTCAAGCTACCTTTCGTGATATAGGCTATAGGTCATTCTATATTCAAGGTAAAACTGCAGAGCCTCTTCTTCGGTGAAGGTGCGCGCTCGCCTTCTTGGGGAGCGTCCATAAGGCGCCGCTCATTCGGACCCAGGGAAGAACCTCTGGAACCCTGATCGCCCAAGGACGGTCAGGTCCCTGCCGTGCCTTCACAGCTTCTGACAAGAGTTCCTGGCGAGGTGGATGTCAAGGATGTGTCGGTATGGTTCCAACACGGACCAACTGCTTTCGGGCACGATGCAACAAGAAAACATGTCGATATCTTGCCTGGGCCCAAAACCTTTTCAGGTATGCTGAACCTGAACCTGAACAGCGTAAACCACATAAAGTCGATTTACCTTGATTCATTTTTACATGGCTATGGGCTTGGCTCCCAAAGCCAGCTCCAACACAACAAACACCCACAGGTTCTTATCAATCTCTCCGTTTGCCCGATCTCCTTTGAAGCGTAGCTTTGCAAAGACTGGTCTTGCTACGCGCTCTGCTCTTCTACAATCAAGCTGGTTCGGTAACCACCCCGCCACTCTTCCAACAACAGCTCAAACAACCAAAGACAACAGTAGACTAGTTTGTTGTTGATGCTACGCAGTCTATGCATAGACTATCACCCACCCCGCCACCTAAAGGCCAGACTCTGCCTCAATCCGATGCTTGCCCAAGTACTCCTCCAGTGCAGCATGGCGATGTGCCGGTTTCCGTGGTTCCACACCGCATGTAATTTCACATTAGTAATGAATTCGGTTTAGGGTTTAGGGTCAAATTGATGAGTAATGTATAGTGAAGTGCAATATTTCTATATATAAAATGACCTCTCGACTTCCAAAATCTTCTTTCAGCATACCCCGTCTTTAGGGTGAATGGATTGCCCTCGGTGACAGTGACAGAACCATCATAATGGTGAATCCCCTTCAAATCATCCATCTCTATAAATTCCGCATATATCATCACGCATGATTGTCATGCCGCATGCCCCAAAATAACAAAGCAGCCCTTACTGTCTGGAGTATATATGTTTGTTTGGCTTGGTTCATGTGGATCTTTCCTGGCTTGCCCAGTCAAAATGAAAAATCTGTTGGCCGCTTCTGATCGATCTAGGTCCATAACACGGCCCGGTCCTTGGCTTTGCCTTTCATCTTGGCGGCCCGGTCGGTCTTAGACTTTTGGACTTCCTCGCTCTTGGTGGAAACGCTCACCTGAGAGGACGGACTTTCAAACAGAATTCAACCGTGGTCTGGGCGGCGCTACCACATGTCCATATGCGAAGTGACTGGGACTCAAAATAATGTGTTCTGTCCCCAAATGACGTGTAATTAGATTATTTCATTAATATACAACAGGTCAGGTTTCACATTGACAACCTCTAGGGCTCAAAATACTTGTCTCGATGAATGCCATTTACGAGTATTTCAATGCTATACAAAATGCATTAGACATGAGCGGTGGTGAAAGGATGCGTCTAAAAGCGTCAGGGCAAAGAGACGTCTATAGCCAATAGAATCTATAGTAGAAATCTATTACGCCCTGGAAGATTAACATGGAACCTGAAAACCACTGGCCCTGGGTTGTAAAATATTGTAAAATCGTCTTCTCAGGTTCCATGCGGGTCTCTTCGCCGACTGTACCGACAGTCGGCGAACCCGCCAGCAACAGCACACCAGCGCCTTGAATTTCATCGCCGGGAAGTCGGGATTGGTGCTGGTGGCATAGGTGTCGTGCATAGCACTGGAGTCCGGCTCCTTAGTGCTGGGAGTCGCGGTGCTGGGTGTCAAACGGGAGGGGCCCTTTCGCAGCACGCCAACGGGGAGCATTGGGGAGCTGGGGAGTATCCGTGGCACGCCCGAAAAACCACCAGATTCACTTGGTTGATTCAAGTCTAGCAGCCTAGCATGCACACATCAAATCATATGACTGGGATCAACGAATGGCGCCCTCTGAAAGCCTCAACCAGTGCAACCGTTGTATAGGTGCTACGCAAGGATTGGGGGCACACCTTCTCTCCCCAAAGAAGCAACTCTTAAGCAATTCGTTTCCACCAACAAATTGTACTGTCCACATGCTAGACACTCAACAGCATATGGTGAAATGATGTGAAATGCCTACGGACACGATCTCATCTCTCCGAATCTCTTTGACCTGTTTGGGAGGCTGGGCCGCCACCTCACAAGGAAACAGCGAGGATTCCATGGCCCTTGCAAATAGCACATCATAGTAGCATCCCAAAGAATAAGGGATCTGTTACACAAACCATCGTGGTTTGAAGAAACACCGGACCATTCTCCTGGCTTGCAACTTGCCCGTCTCGCCCTGTTGGCGGGCAACTCGCCACCGGTGCCAATCGCCCTGGCAGGTCTAACTCCCAAGAGTCTGCAGTGAGTAAGCAATTTCCCACATGCTGGTAGACGTCGATCCGAACATCCTCAAGCCAACACGCAAAAGGTTCTGCTGAACGCTCAAAGGCTGAACTTGCTGCCGTGCTTCTTTTCAGGAAACTGTTCTGTAATGTTCTGTACATTTGCTCGGGACAAGTGCAAAACTACATGAACATCCGAAAAGAATATATACCTGCTTAAGCCATTTTCCCAAATTCAGGATATTTCAGGTATATTATATATATATATATTCCGGCTATTTATTGGGCCTGGTTGTTTGATGGTATGTATGCTGGAGTATGCTGCCACTGTTGTGCTGCTGTGCTATGCCGCCCTACTTCTTTCATTAGGACTTGAGCTAGCAGCTGGCGCTTGGGTTGAACATGGAGATAAGGAAACCTAATAATAGCCCAACTGGGTACTCTCAAACATCGTTTACGGCATCGTTGTGAGTCCCAAATGTCCCAATGGCCGAAGCCTTGCAGCAACAAAACAAAACAAAACGGCATTCATGTGCCTCCCAACCAACGATGTATTCATGCCACACCTCTCTTTGCAGCGTGCACATTGTTTTGGACTGATGAATGGCCACCTTGACCCATTTGCATCACCCCAACCAGTTGCAGAACGCACACAGGTAGAATCCCACCACTCTGGAGCCCATTCGCCATTCTCCTCATGTATAGTACAGGAAGTCAATCTGGTCGTCCAAACATCGATGTTACCCCCAAACGCATGCCGTTGGTCGGATTGCGGGTGGAATGGCCACACCCCAAGAGTCCCAAGAGCAACCATTTGCCTGGATTCCAAACCTAGACCACCCCCAGGACATTCTTCCCGGAATTGAATGCAAATAGCATTGCAATCAACCAAACAAACTCCAAAAACCCTGCACAAATTTGGGAATGGCCGATTTGAACTTTCTTCGGCATCCATCTGAGCTCATCATCTGAGCTGATGATGGGTGAAGCGTTTTTCTCATCAGCCGGCCGTAATCTACAACCCTGTAACCACGGAGCTATTTGGTGACACATCTTGTGGAGGTCTACAGCACTTCTTGCTCGACTCTATCCCATGTGCTTCCAAACATCAACCTTGCAATTCCCTCATTCAAACAATTTGATAGAGTTTCTTCCAACACCCCAAACACGCCCCGGTGGTGTCACCCGTCACCCGGCTCCGCTCCAAGTGACCCTCCGCCGGTCAATGCCCGGGAAGTTGTAAGCCTCGGCACCGAAAACCCACACATGGCCGGTCCGAAAGCCGCCGTGCGATGCGAACGAAGTCCCCCCATCCGCCCAAAAAAAGGACCCAATTCATCCCAATCCGAGGGAACTCAGGCGTCCCAAGCGACCGAGTTCCCATCTCATGATCTCCATCGGAAGAAGCCGGCCCAGGCGACCAGTTTGAGACACACATCGGATTTGGTCGCCTCTGAGAGCCGAACCCCCAAAAAGAGGCCTTGAGACGTCAAACAGCGGTCTAGCCACCTAGCCAGTGATTGGTCATCGTTTCAACAACCCCAAGACTAACTTATATATATATATATATCATACACTACTGTAACCATCTGTAACCCTGATAAACCCTTTCCAAGCCGGAACATCTAGTAGTGAGGTCTGCCAGCTGGCACCTCGCGGCAGCTCCTTACTCGTGGTCGATCTGAGTCACAGACTCGTTGAGGCTCATATCTGCCCTGCTTCAGGACATCCCCCACACGCACACTGACCTCGGGCTTGGGCGTTTGGAACAGCGATCGCATCTCAGTTCTCGTCCTTTTGACATCTAGCTTAATGACTTCCAGGTATGGAGGATAGGGGTGCTTCATGGAAGTCAGGATGGCCATTCTCCACTCACTGGCTGGGACTAAACACCACCCAACTCCATGTGACTCCTGGTTTGAAGACTCTCCGGAGCCGTGGACCTGCTGGGGCCCCAAACATAGCAACCCTTCGGGAGCTGCTCCGCATTCGCGGCCTCCACGTGGACCTCCATCCTCGGAACCCGACCGTCGGGTTCCGTGAGTGAAGGACAGAGCGAGTGAGTGTGTCACCGGAACGACCGAGAACGGAAAAAGCACGTCAACCATGATCTGAAAAAGGCGTAGTACATGCGAGCGAACCAAGTGGTCACCTTGGAAAAAAACAAAACAGGTCAACCATGATCAACCAAAACATGTAACATGATGCTCCATGCAGCTTGAGGACTCCTTCCGGCACGGTTTGGGCCGGAAAGGGCTCCGGCTGTGCAAGCCAGCGAAGAATCTGAAAGGGCAGAATGGTAGAATCATGATAGAGAGTCAATGATAGATATGATAGAAGATCAAACACCTGCTGCATCCTGCATCCGTATGGACGGCATGGATTTGGCACACCTGGGAGTTCGCAA